GAGGGGAAAGGAGAGGAAAAGAGNAAGCCGAAGAGCCAGCGCTGTCCAAAGACGTCTCCGTGGTCATGTGGCCGGCATGACTAAATGTCGAAGGTGCACGAAACGCTGTTACCTTCCCACCAAAGGTGGTCCCTATTTTTCTACTTGCATTTTTTACATGCTTTCGAACTGCTAGGTTGGCAGAAGCTTGGACAAGTAACGGGAGCTCACTCCATTAGGTGGTGCTAGGGATTTGAACCACCGAATTGCCAACCTTTCTGATCAACAAGCTCAGTGTATTAGCCACTGAGCCACCCCCTCCCTTTAGCAGAATGTATAGTTGGGGGGAAAAAAGAGAGAGAGAGAGAGAGAGAGATACATCCACTTAGCTACTTCATACATCTGAGATCTTACAGAAATTAGTGTTTAAAGATTTCAGATCCAGGAAAGAAAGGCACTTATAAATATAATTTTAAAAAAGGCAAAATTAAAGGCATTCTTCCTAATTTATTCGTAAGAAATGGTGACTGATGTGGAGGGTACATCCACATTATACATTTGTTTCTTGATTAAAGTAATGTTCATTATGGATTAACGTTGGGACAAATTTATTTTCTCTTTAATACTAGTGATTGAACACCAGAGAGAGAGAAACTACAAACGCTGGAATTTGATGCTTGGCCCAAACCCCATTAGCTTGATGGTCCCATTCAAATCCACACAAATGTGTATTGTACGTTTTCTAAAGACGTCCTTGTAATTGCGATTCCTGATAGCACCACCACAACAAAGCCATCCCAAACACATTTTAAGATACTCTATCGACAATGCCGATAGTTATCTCCTTGAGAGTCCAGCACGCTACATTTAGAGAAATGCACCCAGTAATTCACACAGTATTAATTACGGAAAGGAGAGCCTATAAATCAGGTTAATCTATGCTTGAATCATCCTTGTGTCCGGATATACAAAAGATTTAAATGGTAACTTTTTCATAACATGCTCTTCCAAATGCTGCTTTAATCTCCTCCTCCCCCCCCCCGCCATCGGCCCACAACAGGTCTACTGATGTTGTTATACCTTTTCAGTTTGCATTAAAGCTATTATTTTTTGTGCTGCAGCCACTACGGAAGATGTTATTTCCTTCCCAATTCAGTTGGATAATGGTCAGTGAAATTAAGCTGTCCTTTGGATTAAACCTCACATTCTCATTTCCCCAGATTGGGTTCAAAGGATTTAGCGCTGTTCTCTTTTTTTTTTCCTCTTCTCTTCACACGCACAAACAACCAGGTCTGGGATTTACATAAAGATGCACATTAACCACAAACATCCGTGGTAGTTAGTGCCAAACAGAAAAATTAAGGATACATTAAAATTTCTGTAACGTCGGTTCCACATGGTATACTATTTAAGGCATTAAATCAAAGCCAGGCAGAAAGAGAAACGAAAAAGCAGATTGGAAAATCTGACCTGTTCTTCAACACTTTTCACCATCGATAAGACTTGAGAATTAGAAGCAATATTCCAGTTAAAAAGCAGTGGTTTATTTATTTATTTTTAATTAACAAACATGTAAAATACACACACACAAAACCTAGATGTACACCACATTTACACAATGCAATACGAACAGGAGCTTCCTGTTCTTTCTAACAGCAATTATCAATCGATACTGCTCACTTATATTATTTCCCTTTCTATTGTATTTCATTTGGATTTCACCATTCTTAACCCTCTTATTCTACTCATAACTATTTTTTTTTTTTTTAGTTTTGTTATATTCCTTCATTGATTCTTGTTTCTTTCCTCCATCCACCTATACCATTTATCCCATATTTGGTAGAATTCTGATTCTTCTTTTCCCTTTTTCTTAGTATGTTTTGG